GTATCTCATTCACTTGTCTCTCCTTTTACTACACCTCTCTTCGTGTCTTACTCTCTTGGGTTCTGATTGTTGATTGTCATCATTTCTTCTTATTCATGCTCTCGCGCTCCCTCTCTCTCTCTCTTTCATCTCTCTATCATGTCTTCCTCACCTACCTCATGTTGTCCCCACCTTTTTTTACTGTTTTCGTCTCTTCTCATTCATACTCTCCCCCATTTTTCGCGACCCCTGGCTGTTCAACAATGGCTATGATTGCTGTAGCACAACAGTTGAATTCCCTGTGCTCCCTGCCCTAATGCGTAATCGTGCCCTAATGCCATAATGCCTTCTCTACTCGTGTAATGCGGCTCGTGTCGTATAGGGTACCAGGTTCGTACTTTTGGCGCGTGTAAGATGTACCATTAGATAGCACGATTAATAGAGAGACGTAAATAAAGTACGACAGAAACAAGATGTAACGTACAACAGGTAGTTCTATTAGTTCTCTACAGAGTAATACACAAACTTTATAATCTCTCTAGGGGCATGGCGCGTACACGGGTCTTAACTAAACAATACACACTACCGTAGTATAAATCGTATCAATGTAGTTTACACACAGTATCAAAGTAGTTTACACACCGTATCAAAGTAGTTTACACATAAATACAATAAAAAAATGCAAATCCATGCAACCATACTCACATCTAGTCTCTCTGACTCTCTGCTCTAAAGCGGGCCTTTTTTATTCTACTTTTCCCGAACCACGTGACTTGAGTATGTCACGCGTTTAGTCTACATAACATGGATCGCTTTCACAACTTTCGATAGGGGGGGGGGGAGAGTGACCACTGCCCTAGTGCATTGGCACTAATGAGGCGGGTGATCGACTGATTAGTCGCCCGAGGCCAGTCCCTGTCGCCGAAAATTCTTATAAATAAGTATGGCTGAATTTGCTTCATCACACTCGTGGCTGGTCTACAGCCGGTGAAGGAACGTACGTAGTAGTAAAGCATGGCAGCAGTATCAAGCCTCATCGATCAACAGGCTCACTCATCAAGATGAAAAGGAGCCGGACTGCTCAAACCTTGCAAAGTTGATTGCCCCCCATAACATATAGTATGGTGTCAGGGCCGCACGTAGCGGAGCATAAGGAATTTAAGTGGGTCAGGAAAGCATGATTTTGGGCGGATTAGTAGATACTTGTTATAGGAGGGGAACCTTTCGGCATTTAGTATTTCTATCTTGCGGAATTTTCGGCAATCGTCAATCATGACAAAGCGTTCTTTAGAAAATCCCTATTTGACCTTGTAATTTTAACACGGTAGGGAAGCCCACGCTGAAATATTTAGAGGATTCTTATTAACTATAGCTTGACGCCTTGTCGCACGATAGGTTAGTTCCCATTATTAATCATGGTTAATTAATACACCCTATCGTAGAGAGTGGTGTTTTCGTGAATTTTTCAATTTTTCCCTAAAAATGTAAACGGTCATATAGACTTGAGAACTATTTTTTGAAATATTTTCCATGCAAATTGAAAAAAGGGAGTGTTAACGTTACAGTTTTGAATTGATTTTAGCGACGTGGTTATGGATCACTAAGCGTGGCAGGCGTAATCATCAATAATTACGAGGGAATGAACTGCGTGTAGACAGACAGTGTTACTGTCTTGTTACGCGGGTATTACATAATACAGTGTGTAATACAGCTCTTCCATTCTACATCCTGTATTCGTCATCCATCATGCATTCAGTGGGCATGGCCAGCCGACCTTGTTGCTATGTCCCGATGTTTATATTGGGTATAGACTATAGATGTATAATCTATATTCAGACAAATAGCGAGTGTGTGCAAGTAACGTGTAATAGGATGTTCGAACCAGTGCGCTATATGTAGCTATATGACACATTATACGTATTGTGAAATATTTCTTCGATTGTTCTTATCGTTGACTTGTCGGTATTTAATAAGATCAAATTCATCGGAATAAAGATTATTATATCGGAAATAAGAGCCACATCCCCCCCTGTGTGATATCTCCACACCACTCCCCACATCCCTCCTGCGTGGTATCCCCACACCCCTCCCCACATCCCTCCTGCGTGGTATCCCCACACCCCTCCCCACATCCCTCCTGCGTGGTATCCCCACACCCCTCCCCACATCCCTCCTGCGTGGTATCCCCACACCCCTCCCCACATCCCTCCTGCGTGGTATCCCCACACCCCTCCCCACATCCCCCCTGTGTGATATCTCCACACCCTTATCCGCACCCCTCCCCACTCACTCACCGGGTTCACCTCGGTTTCAATTCCCTGCAGGTTGTTGAAAATGGATTTTCATGGCCCACGTGTCTGAGAGAATTCTTGCATTTTTAATAACACGCGTTTTCAAGCCGAACCCTTTTGCGTAACCTCTCGTAAAGATATCCTTTTGCGTAACCTATCGTGAAGATTGCGTCATATAAACTGATTTCTACTTTGGACTGTCTTATCGAAAATGGCTTTTTACGGCCTGCCAGTCTGAGAGAATTCTTGCATTTTCGCGTTTGCAAGCCGAACCCTTTTACGTAATCTCTCGTGAATATTGCGTCAGATATCCTGCCTCAAGCAAAAGCTATGCCGCGCCCATGGTTAATTAATAGTGATTGCATCAGATGCGAAGCAATATACGTAAATAAATAAACAATTTTAATATTTTAATAATAGAAGTAGTAATATACAAAATTCCACTGTATTACGCGATAGCAAAGACTAATATATACAATTGTATACAATGGTTTTTGGCGATTGATATAGCTGCTAGACCCTCCTCCTCCCAGATTGATATCGTACGCAGACATGTTGTTACGATCTTTTTTTATGAGCCTGTATTTTTAGCTCATCTGACGAAGTCAGATGCAGCTTGTAGAATCGCATGATCACTGTTTCGGCGTGTATGTGAACACGTTTGGGACTAACAGGGTTTACTAGAATCCCACCACTCCACCACCGAGTCACCGCAGTAGATGTTAGATGAGCGCTGTCGCAGCGCGCACTTGTTAGAGATAAATCTCACGAATGCATGTGAATTACAACACGATTAACTATTTGTTTTTCAAGAGATTGTGGTCCAGAGGTTGTTGCAATTACTGCTTTACTGCAATTACTGCAATTACTGCAATTAGACAGACACCAGCGTAAAAATAAGGTTTGGGACAGCTGGTGCACGCTGCAGCGATATCGGATTTAGCTAGAATGTAGAGCGAGGGAAAACACCGAGATGGCTGTATGTATATGATCAAGAGCGTATAAAGACGTTAATCTTTATACGCTCTTGATATGATCAGCAATCATATATATCACTGAAGATCGTGTCACTGATGATGAAAATACGCGACAGTGTGGGGAACGTTGGGGCTGTGCATTGATTGCTACGTGCACCTTACGCAATGCGCTTTCTCATTCATGCATCATCTGCGGCATTGACGTATACAAACATGGTTCACTCGTGTTATGCACAGGCTGTTCGCCTTTTTACTGTACATGCACATATAGAAACCTTGGACTATGCGCGAATACAAACCTGTTTTGACCTGGCCAGCGAGTGAGCGATTAGTCCGGTAACATAGTACGTGGGTGGAAGTTGATTTCGTGACAAGTTTACACTCAGTAGCGCCCACACTGTTATGATACGTATACATATATATGTGTGATCTACACACGTAATGCTCGTGCTGCTGCCGTCTAAATATGTACGCACTGACACTATTACTGTAGTATGCTATTTATATATGTTGTACTGTTACTGTTAGTATATATGCACTAGCAGCACACACAGTGGCGTGATGGGCAGTGGACAGCAACCCAGAGGAAATTAACGGGAGTCAGGAGTCAAATACTCCCTGATTTACTGTCGGACTCCCTGATTTGACATATGCAGGAGTCCGTGTGATTCCCTGAAAATTCTGCCATACTAACTAGTTCGTTCCATAGCACGGCCTCTCACAATTACCGTATTTTTTCAGCTAATGTCCAAAGAAAATTGGGCAGACGTGCAACCGCATAAATCTTCAAAATAAGCACATGCGTTATTGTTAATATCTTTAATTTTGAACCTCAGACTGTGGACTACCTCATTTTGCTGCGGACTCCCTCTTTTTGAGGTTAAGGAGTTCGTTGGACTCCCGTGTTCAAAAGTTAATTTCTACCCTTGCTCTAAGATTACAGTAAACACACAGAATTAATAGCCCAGAAACCGTGTATAGTGCATAGTTTGTGTGGTCGTACTCGTGGCCCGATGATCTCACATTTTCATTGTACACGGGAGACCGATTCTAGATGGGGTTAAATAGAGTATTGTAGTTCTTTTTACAGTGACTCTAGTATGAAAGAATATCACAATACGTACGTGGGCGTGTTCATGATTGCCGTGGTTGCGTAGATTCTGCACACACTATTATGCTAACTCTGATCAATAGCGCTCATGGGGAGTGTATGCATTGATTTCACCGCTGAGGGACACAATCAATGTCTGTTCAAATTGATTATGAAGCTAAGCATTATGAAGCTACTTTGTACAGTAGAGAATTGTAATTTCACCGGGTAAACCAGTACTAGGCATTGGCCAACGATCGAGTGATAGTCTACATTTATAGAAATTGATTCTGTAACAAGGAACGAATCAAAGCCCGCGTGGACCTTAGTTATACCAGTTAAGTCAACGCATGTGTTTACCTCTGTAACTCTGGTGCGACAAATGTCACCACCCTTGTTTAAGGCCATTCGGCTTGTAGATCCACAACACTGAACAGTGAACACTCACGTGATATTACCACTTCAATCGCACAACTATTCAATCGCTCGTTATAGATCCGCCTAGAACCCACATTGATTTTTTCTGTTGAATCCCACTGTTGAATCCAACTTTTGAATCTTTTTACACAATCTCGCTATCAAGTCCCGCTATTGAACTATTACCTCTATCCCATCCCACTGTGGACTCCCTCTATCCAATCCCACTCTGGAATCCCACTACTGAATACCACTGCCTACTCCCACTGCCTATACTTCCACTACGGCATCTCCTAACGGCAGAAGCCACTCTGAAATTCCACTGTGGACTCCCACTACTGTATTCCACTGCCTACTCCCACTGCCTACTCCCACTACCGTGAGTACGGCATCGCGTAATGGCAGAAGCCACTCTGAAATTCCACTGTGGACTCCCACTACTGTATTCCACTGCCTACTCCCACTGCCTACTCCCACTACCGTGAGTACGGCATCGCGTAATGGCAGAAGCCACTCTGAAATTCCACTGTGGACTCCCACTACTGTATTCCACTGCCTACTCCCACTGCTGAATCCCATTACGGCATCGCGTAACGACAGAAGCCCCGCTCCCGCATCCCCACCCCCACTCGCCTCTAATTGCTCCCTTATCTCTCCTCCGCAGCCAGCGTGGGTCGAGCATCTTCATTGCAACGTTATCATCGTTGTTTCGTCGCAGGCGATCGCATCGAGGGCGTGCACCAGACGCTGCCGCCGTATGTCGAGCCCAGCTACCTGCTGCACTACAACCTCAACGAGGACGGTCGCCTCGCTGCGAAGAAGATCGTCTGCGCGATCGGCTTCCTGTGTCCCGACATCACGTTCGGTCCGAAGATCTACCCGATGGTCTGCATGTTCCTGCACTACATGAGCGAGGAGACGGCCTACGCGTGTGAGTATCCCTGTACCGAGGGGGGTTCTCCTTCTGTTCGCGAATCCTCCCCGGTGTTTCTCTTTCTCCCCCGTCCATGTATGAATCTATGTAAGATCGACCCGATGGCCTGCATGTTCCTGCACTACATGAGCGAGGAGACGGCCTACGCGTGTGAGTATCCCTACACGTGGTTACATGGGGTGGGGGGGTTCTCCTTCTGTCTGCGATTCCTCCCCGGTGGTCCTCCTCCCCCGCCTATGAATCCATCCTCCCGGAGTTCTCCTCCCACACCTATTAATCCATCCTCCCGGAGTTCTCCTCCCACACCTATTAATCCATCCTCCCGGAGTTCTCCTCCCCCACCTATGAATCCATCCTCCCGGAGTTCTTCTCCCCCGTCCATGAATCCATCCTCCCGGAGGTTTCCTCCCCCGTCCATGAATCCATCCTCCCGGAGTTCTCCTCCCCCGTCCATGAATCCATCCTCCCGGAGTTCTCCTCCCCCGTCCATGAATCCATCCTCCCGGAGTTCTCCTCCCCCGCCTATGAATCCATCCTTCCAGGGGTTATAATGCTAATGACAGCTGATTCTATTTGCTGGGTTCATGATGACTGAGTCAATCTAAGCCTAAGGAGTGCAAACTGTGCGTGTGTGCACGTGTATGTGAACGTGTATGTGAACGAGTATGTGCGTACATGCGCGTGTGTGGGCATGCGTTTGTGTATAGTACTATACGCGTGTTTACACGCGCGTGCGCGCGTGCGTGCATATTTTGCGTGCGTGCGGGCTACCGAGACTAGGCGTACGTGTGGGTGTAGAGATGAAACGGTCACTGCAGCTGTATGCATACTAGATACTGTAGTGTACACGAACCTTACTGTATATAAGCGGGTTAAGACTGTAACTGCGACTGGAGCTAAGAAAGTAGGTGATAAGGGTTTTAAATAGAGACTGGGTAGTATAGTGTTTGGCGGGTAAGATTTTTTTAAATCTAGATTTGTGTGTATGGTTTACGCATATTAATAGAACATAGACAAAGCAATTTCTATACAATGATTTATTGTTTTGGTGGGGGTATAAAAGTCGTAATATTAAGGGCTAATATTATATAATATATATAAACTAATAAAATATGAAGGGCCGTATAAAAGTCGGGTATTTGACCACCCAGACTAGCGCCATCTAGTGTTCTACTGTTCGCAGTGGCGGACGATTAAAACACAAGAGGACAAACTGTGGTACGAGCAAACGGGTTTATTGCTACGTAATTCTGATACAATAGCGTAATTCGTAATACGATACGTAATTCCTTGGTAATTCTGTACACAATACCACAGGCGGGCAGCTAACTCGCAGTCACAGGCACTTGAAGCGTTTCAATAAAATATAATGCTAACTAAATACGAAATCTATTTACTTAGTACAAAATTCTTAATGTTTCTATACTATAGCCAGGTCTACTCTCTTTCACCTACGGCTACACCGCCGATAGTTTCCAACCATTGCAAATTACCGGCTGCCATTGCTCTCGCGGCGCGACTGTTGCACGCTTGCACTAATATAGAGAGTTATATATATATAATATGCACTAATATATATAATATAGTTGCACTCTCTATATTAGTGCAAGCGTGAAACAGTCGCGCCGCGAGAGCAATGGCAGCCGGTAATTTGCAATGGTTGGAAACTATCGGCGGTGTAGCCGTAGGTGAAAGAGAGTAGGCCTGGCTATAGTATAGAAACATTAAGAATTTTGTACTAAGTAAATAGATTTCGTATTTAGTTAGCATTATATTTTATTGAAACGCTTCAAGTGCCTGTGCTCGCAGTACTCTACAGGCTGAGGGCCCGGAGAAGGGTAGAGAAGTTGAATGCCGACATCTGGTCAGAGCGTGTGTGATCTTGACTGATCAGATACGTCAGGCGTACGCTGCACATGTAATCAGGAGTCTATCAATCCATCTATCAAGTCTATTGATAGACTCCTGATGTAATGCATTTATCACGTATATGCTGAACACTTGTAAACGAGGGCACCGGGATGCTGGGAGATGCGCGGTGAATGGAAAGGGGTGGTGCTCGAGAGGGCAGGAATGGGGTTAGCCCACTGATCTCTACTATACTAACTAAATTTATTATTAAATTATTAAATTTATTATTAAATTAAAGTTAGTATAAGATTGATGAGTGGGTTAGCCGCTAGAAAAGTCGCCGCTGTAGGGCAGCACCTCTGTAATGGTGCAATATTATCCGCGTGCGCTGGATACACTATATGGCGACATATATGACAAACTTACCGTACACTCTCTAAAAGTGAAACTTTATGAAAGAGGAGCGTCGACAAGAGGTCGCAAAGAAGATTTGATACAGAAGATTTTACTACACAGCTCAGACCTCTCAATAATCTGACGGTTCCGGTGATGCACACACACACAACCCCAGGATCCAGTTTTCTGCGTTAGATTGGGAGCTGACACATGGTCGTTTGCTAGCCCTAACCTCATGTGTTTTTCTGTAATACAGCAGCGTGGTGGTGTTTGTTATTACTATCGCGTGTTGTTTGGTATTCTATTGTGTGTAATAGACCGTTTCCAGCAACTTCAAAATCGACCTCTGACTTTTATTTTGCACACTGTGTCAACATCAGTGCTACAGCGCAAACTGCGACTGCATATATTCAGGTGCATCTATATTATACGTCTGCATTCTATATTATGCACCACTCCTGATAGATTCACGGTGGTGGTATAAAGAATATATTGCGACTTTCGGCGCCTATGTAATATCAGGAGTGAAAAAAGTATAATTATTATGTCACTTCTTGTAATAATGGGGGGGGGGGCGAAGACAGGTAAAATTATAGGTCTCAGCAATTGGTTTTACCACGCGTATTAGGTAGAACCTGGGGGCGGATTCAAGAACAGTTCGTACGCACAATATCGTGCGTACCAGCGTTCGTACGCACAAACAGGCATTTAGGAGGCATTAATTCACAAAGAGTTATATCTCGCCAGAATCATTCTATTTCGTGCGTACAGTACGCACCCTATCGACCATCCGTGCGCACAATAATTGAGTTTTGAAACTGCATTTTATGCAGATATAACGAAACAACTGCTAATCAATTATCACACATTCGAGTGAAATCATTTTCGAGTGAAATCCGACGCTGTTTATATCAAACGCAACATATTCCTGCGCAATATTCATTAGTAAGGATGCCAGCCCCATATAGTGATGACTGACTGCCGATGGGAGCGTTAATTCCTAATGTTACTGCCAACGCTAGTTCAAAAACGACCATGGAATGTGATCGATTGTAGAAGAGCTAATTAAGCAAACAAGCCGGCCAGCAATCAGCCAGTTAGTTTGGTTAGTGGTGTAGTGTTAGTGTAGCGTGGCTGTTATAGTTAGTGGTGAGTGGCGAATGCGAACGTATTTTGCTCTCGTACGCGAAACACACGCGTAACAAGTGCAGAAAATATATATCGCGTCGTACAGTCCCCCTAAAAAATGTCCTTGGGAAATGACGCTTTTGCGCTTCAACGCATCCGCCATTATTTAGACATTTATCCTTGCACTATGTAGTAGTAATTGGCAAGATAAGAGCTCGTTTGAGAATGGCAACTGGCGTACTGGCACTCCAACTGTCGCGGTGACCTGCTTGGTGCGTGAGGCGCTGCTGGAATGCGGTGACATCATAGCCTTGCACAGCGAATATTTATGCCAGCGATGAAGAGGCAACATCGTGGTTTACCGGCAACATACGGCAAAACCAGCTGGCGGACTGTTTATGCTCGGTACATCAAGGGCGGGTGGTCCGGAATCAGGGCCACGGTGCAGGGAACCGGTGGTGGATATATGCTAAATATATCTGCACTGAAATTTCGCGAATCTCTCAATTGCTCTCAATTTCTCAATTACACGAGCGCAGCGCTGTCTTCTGCACGGCTGGGGCGCTATATCTTATGTTCAGTCAACGCGCAAGCGTGGCACCAAGAAACGGCCGTGCACTGGACTAGACGAATTGGCTCGATCGTGTACATTCTATTGACATTTGTCCACACAGCCGTCACAGGCACTTGGGCTGTTTCAGTAGTAAAGATGATGATGAACAAAGATGAATTATATTTACGAATGAAATCTACAAGTTTATCTACACGCTTTCGGCTATTATTAGTAATAATTCACCGTAAATGTCGTTCAAATGCTCCTCTGGGACACTGGCACCGGCACGTACGCCACAGTGAACAAACTCATAGACAGATGGAGAATCTGAAAAACACATTCTCACCTTTCCATGAGTTTGTGCAGTGGTGCGCGTGCAGTGAGAGTGTGTGTTGCCAGGGTCGTAGCCACGGGGTGGGGGGCGCTGAGGCACGTGCCCCCCCACAAATTTTCTGTGCCCCCCAGGTGCCCCCCCCCACTGAAAATTTATGCTTGATAAAAAAAAATTGAATTAAAAACAATGCCGTTAGAACAGTATAATACAAAGAAAAGTTATATATTGTGCCCCCCTCACAAAAATGTAAGGCCCCCCCAGTGCCTCCCACGCTGAAAAAATCCTAGCTACGCCACTGGTGGAAAGGAGGGGGGCACCAAGATTGGGCAGTGCTTAGGGCACCAGTGAGCCTTAATCCGCCCCTGCCTATAACTAACTATAGTCTGCTATAACGTATAAATTCCTGCCACTAAAAACACAAATTACACAAATTACTTACTGGTTTGGAAGCCGAGATATCGGCACTTCTAGGTTTGTACATGTCCGCCATGTTGGAAATCTAAGATGGCCGCCATATTG